ATTTTTCATCTTGGATTTGTGAAATGAGAAATAATACAAGAAGGTCCTTCTGGGGAGGGAGGTGTGGAGAAGGAAGGAAAAGAAAATATGGTCACATGATTTAAAAAAATGACAAGTTGGTGGAAATAAATGGGACTAAATCACACTGTCACCGTCACAACGACCGTGACAAACCGACACTGTTCCCTCAGTTTTCCCCAGCAAGAACCGAAGCCTTTCAGCACTGACATCTGGCCCTTTGATAAATTCCCACAAACCACAACAGAACTTATAACCCACGGAGGCTCCATTTAAGGTGCCGAAGGATGACAGCTGTAGTCTTGTCCGTAAACGACCTAGAACACAGCTCAAAAAACATCTGTGCTCTCGTGTCCTCAGATCCGTAGTTCTGTTAGGTTACCTCCAGTCCTGGCTTGGAAGTTCAGGGGCTTTTGTCTTGCAGCTGTTGCTGGTGTTGACAGTGAGGCCAGTCCTCCGGAAACCTCAGCACCTCTCCAAAGTAGGTCGGTTCTGCAGGTGTGTTGTGAGGGTGGGTCCTTACGCAGCCTGCCCATTAGGCTACAGAACACACAGGTCTCAGAACCCTGCACATTTGCCCAGAGGGGCTAATAAGGGAGTTAGTTCAGGTATGTCTAGGTGGATGTGGTGAGAGCAAGCAGGCTTATGTCCAGTAGAGATGGAGGGAGCGGGGGGCAGAAGAAAAGCTGAAAGTGCCTTGGAGAAAGAATCTTTGCCATGCTGCTCAGAGATGACATGAATGGGTAAGGTCATTGGACTCAGCCAGTCCCAATACCCACATGCAGACTTTCAGCTGGAGTTCTGCTGACCAGCGGAGGCACAGTAACAACAGAAAAGAAAGACCTTAGAGACACAGCTGTGATCAGATCACAGTACCCTTTGCCAAAGTCCACCCCAGCTTTTTCTCTGATCCAGCTCCTGTTCAGTCCCTAAAATTATCCTGAATGCTCTGATCCTGTCTCACAAGCCTCAAGCCTCGTCTTGCTCTTCACAATAGCCAAAAGAATCCAAATGGCTCTAGACTGCTCTTAACACTGAGGATGGAAACTGTCCCTGACTCACTTTCCTGTTTCCCTATTCCCTGGCACATATTAAACTTCTCATCTTTCCCCCTTTTAAAGACCTGCCTGCTTTTAGCAGCCCTACTTTCTTCTGTAGCTACCCCTACTCTCCCAAACCCCACGTCTGCATGATTCCGTCCTACAAGCTCCGCTCTCAGCTACAAGTCTGAGTTGGAGAGGAGTCAGGTAAACCCTTGGTGAGAAGGTACTAGCTTATGACAACTGAAAGCATTCCCTCTCCCTGGCAAATGTGCAAAGGGATTCATTTAACAGCAAATAAAAATTTTAAGAATCAAAGCGGTATGTCACTGATAGAATTCTAGGGACTGAGGAAAGAAGTAGAGAGGAAGGGAGATTTTTCAACCAGGAGTTCTCTTGCCCCTTTGTAAAGCATCTCTATTCAGGCTGCCACTGATTCAAAATATTTCTACCACCAAACTTCCCTAAGGAGTACATTCCCTTGGGCTTCATCTTGACTAGTTTTTGGATTGGATGGGGTGGACGTCCAACGAGAGGTGTTCATGCTTCAAGAGTGGTGAAGAGTGGTGAAGAGTGGTGATGCTTCAAGATTTCCCTGTAACACTGCCCATCTCTTGGCCATTTCACTCTTAATAAGAGGCTTCCTCCCTGGAGGTAGGGAGTTGAGAGCCAACTCTACCCCTCTCCTTGGCAATTTTTGAGTCTCTGCAGTTCTATGAGAAGGCAAGGGAAGCTATAAATCAATAGAGATTGAGATTTCATATTCTTTCAATTCTCAATCCCAATACTGATGATGAGTAGCATAAGGCAGCAGAAAAATATGAAGTCAAAAAGACGGGGGCTCTGAGCACCTGTCTTGTTAATAAACTAGAACCTTTAGGAAATCTTTCAACATCACTGAATCTCCATGCCAAATTATTGAATGGGATTAATGAGTTACGGTCCTATTTTACATACAAGACTGTGGTGAAGATCAAATGAGATACTAGATGTAAAAATGTTTTGAAAAGCATGAAATACTATACAAAGTTACACATTTTAATCTTAGCCTTAGCAAAAGTGGGTGACGAAATAGATGACATTGAAAAGTACTTGAAATATTTTTTCAATTCCTTTTTGTGTCAGAGACTGATAGTTTTGATCAGTATTAATTTTTACATTGTTTCTTTAATAATAGAACCTATATATTTATCAAGGCACAAGGCAACCAATAATGATGACATTTCCTGATCTTCTTAGCAGCTAGATGTAGCTAATAGCTAGGTGTTAGCCTATGAGATGTGACTGGAATTGATATATGCAACTTCTTCCCACTTCTTCTAAGCTACCTGAAATAAACATGAGATGGCAGGAGCTGCAGCAGTCATCTTGGACCATGAGTTGAAAGCTGCATGTTAGTATGAAAGAGCAAGAGAGGGCCTGGGATTCTGGTAATATCACACAGTTTTCTCTGTTGCTGAGAGTAGGTAGCCAAAAAGTTAAAAGGAGACAGAATATATAGTACGTATCTTATTCCTTAATAATAATTTAAACACACACATACATAGACGCTCTATCTGTCTGGTTACTGATGTTGCCATCGCCAGAGAATGAAAGGAAGGTCTACCTGGGAACTGCAGGAGTCAATAGGATGTGGAACTCCTCAGGGATTTTTCTTTTTCTTTTTTTGCCTCTGCTGGGCTTTTAACACAGATGTATCTGGAATGACTTGGTTTTGGGTCTTAATATTCATTGGATGGACCGATGCTGAAGCTGAAGCTCCAATACTTTGGCCACCTGATGCGGAGAGCCAACTCATTGGAAAAGACCCTGATCCTGGGAAACATTGAGGGCAGGAGGAGAAGGGGGCGAGAGAGGATGGGATGGTTGGATGGCGTCACCAACTCAATGCACATGGGTTTGAGCAAACTCTGGGAGAGAGTGAAGCACAGGGAAACCTGGTGTGCTGCAGTCCACGGGGCTCGCAAAGAGTCGGACATGACTTAGCGACTGAGCAACAGCGACAACTTTGAGGCTGCTGGCCACTCATGGATCCTTAGACCCAGATGCCTTCTGCTGACATCCTTTCCCTGAGCTGAGGATCACTGCGCATGTAGGCGCGCTGTCAATTTTCAGAGAACAAACTGCATCCTCACCTCTTCGTTTCTATCAACAGAGGACCGTGGGGAGAGGACTAGTGTGCTGCTTTAGAATGAAATGATACGAAGGAAGACGTTCATGTCGGTCTTTTTAATTTGCTCAGCACTGGCCTCAGGCCAATGAAGAGAGATGGTTTCTCCTCTGAACATCCTGATACTGTGCCTCCAGCGGAGCCTCACATATCACGCCTTCAGCAGCGAGGCCACGGAAAGTCTTTGGATAGAAACCCCGAGGCGCCTAAGGAACAGTGTGAAGTTAGCAGAGGCTGCCTTCAAGTCTCAACTAGGCACGGATTCTCTGCCAAAAATGTAAAGGGAGTTTAAAAGAAACAATCTGAATGCTTTCTAACTTGTTTTGATTTTCCACATGACAAAACATTGGATTGTTAGCGTGTGTGTGTGTGTGTGTGTGTGTGTGTGATTCACAGCGACAGGCAGAACAATAATTTGCAGCTCTGCCATTCTAGGCAGCATTAGGTCTTAGCATTGAAATGGGAAGACAGAGAGAAAGCTGCTCATTAATCCCAGTAGCAAGCCTCCTTTCTCACTACTTTAGGAACAAATCATCAGAAAGGGAGATGCTAATATTTTGTGAGCCTAATCTCTATCAGCTAACAAGCTATATTTTTGGCCCCTTTAACCCACCCCATCTATGGCTTAAGAAGTACAACTGCCTATAAAGCCATCAGTCTCTCAGCTCCTTGATGGATGAGTGATTTGGAGGAGGCTGGGCTCACCCCAGGTGACATGGCACTGGCTTGGAGCTATCACACTCAGGGGGGTTAGACACAGACCCTTCTGGACAATAATGGGTGGTTTCTAGCACGACTGGCAGGAAGCTATTATCCCATATGGAAAACATTATGGAGACAAAAAAAGAGTTTGCCCTCTGCAGTCAGCCAAATCTAGCTCACAACCCATGAGGAAGCTACTTATTGCCTGTAAATCTCACTTTCCACATTGTAAAATTGGGACAAACAGTATCTACCTTCTTGTGAATAGATTTGAGTTATGAAAAGGGCCTCCCAAAGTTCCTGGCACAAGGGAGGTCCCAGTAATGCCTTTCCTCCCATGAGAGATGAAGCTGAGGGTAGTATCAGAAATACCTAAGCCTCTTCTCTAGAACTCTTTTTGATGGAGACACCAGGCTCCCCTCTGTGCAGGCGAGCACTCCATGAATGTGGGTTGATTAACTCTCAACCCCAGAGAGAGTATTCTGGAGGCTGAGACGCAGCTTATGTAAAGCTGGCTTAAACATCAAACATGTTGGATATCAATGAAATAGGCTTTTCAATCTGATTTAGGGGGTTCACTCATTTTGCCTTCAGCTCCTTGAAAGGATTGATCAGATCAGTCTGTTGTGAAACTTTCTACTCACTCTGATCCCCTACTAAATGCTAGGCCAAGGTTTTCTACTCCCTCTGCCATATTTCTCCTCTTATTATTCAAAGACATTGTGTTGTAGCTGTGGCTGGGAAGAGGTGAGAATAAGAGTGCTCAGGGCTGGTGCACTGGGAAGACCCAGAGGGAAGTGATGGGGAGGGAGGTGGGAGGGAGGATCAGGATGGGGAACACATGTAAATCCATGGCTGATTCATGTCAATGTATGGCAAAAACCACTACAATATTGTAAGTAATTAGCCTCCATCTAATAAAAATAAATTAAAAAAAAAAAGAAGAAGCACTTGGCAATGCAGCACATTTTTTCTGACCACAGTCTCACAACAGATAGAGATCATGCATGGAGAAAAAAATAATACCAAGCTACAGATATTCAAATGATGGGAGGTAGAGTCTTTCTAAACTCCTGGAGTAAACACGCACTGCATTCCATGTCTCATGGCCTAAGTCAGAGTTAGTTTTTAAGTTAGTGATCTTGACTTTATTTTGCATACACGCTAGCTGAGCTCCTATACTAAAGGCCAAATTCCTTTTAAGTGTCTTTTCCTCTATGACAGTGGAGTTTCAAACCTGGCAGTGCTGTATCAGATAAGAGGTCTGCTCCAAATAGGAAAAACTCTAAAATAGCCCTCATTAAAAAAACTAAGGTTCTGCAGTCAGATTGGAAATGGTGGACAGGTAGTTATCCTCCTGCTTTTCTCCCTTCTTAATTTATCTTTCATTCCTTATACTGAAAATAAAAAATGGTGAAGGGTGTTCTCCTTAGGTATTCATTAATAAGCCTGTTCTCTCCTGAATGTCCTTACCCACGTTCCTTTCTCTGGGGCCACAGGCACACATCTCCTGAATCTACTAGCCTTTCCATAAAAGATGGGGGAGAAGCATGGCTCGGGGATAAGATGCAGAGGATGTGAGTCTGCAGTGATGGTCAGTAGCAGGGTAATCATGTTGAAAAATAACCATAACAATGAAACACGTTGCACTACTTATGGTTTAAACCACACTCGAATAGAGTTCAAAGATGAGAGCCAACAGCTGAGAGAGTTGGCCTTAAACCTCATGGGAAGGCTGAAAAAGCCTTCTCCTCCTCTCTCTTTCAACAGCAGTATTTCCATTAAAGAGACAATATGAGCCGATCAGTTTCAGCAGAACATCCAAGCCACAATTTGGCTTTTCATGTGTACTTGAGTAGGTTCCAATGGCCCAACCTACCACCTGGGCTGCTGCTGCTGCAAAAAAGAAAAAAACAATCGCAAGGACTCTTTCCTTTGTTGGTGCTTTGCCCCTTGACCTTCTAAAGAGGTCTATCCCGTTGGGTGCATTCCTTACCCTACTTAATATCACAGATTGACAAATGTCAGAAAAAAAAAAAAGAAAAGAACCAGATGGATCATCTCTGGCTGGGAAAAGGTGAAGACAGAGAGGAAGCAAGGAGGGGAGCGGGTCCCAAGCAAGCCACCTACGGGCCAGACGTACTCGGCGTGGTCCCACATTCTCCAAGGTGAGGCCAGCGCGCGGGCTCGGGCTCCCCCTTCCGCGGGAGGGGAGGGCGGCGGCCGGGGTTGGGGTCACCATCTCACCACCTGGCTGTTGTAGTCCTCCGTGACGGCCCCCTCGGGGCTCCCCTCCTGCCTGGGCCAGCGGTGGCCCCTGTGGTCTCGCTGTGGCCTGCGCTCCCCGCGTCTCCTCTGCCGGTCCCTCTGGCGCGCCAGCTGCCTGGTGCGGTGGTAGCGCTGCTGGAAGAGATCCTTGGCGTACTCGTAGAGCTGCACATCGAGGAAGTTGAGCTCCTCGATGCGCCGGCGGGCGCCCTCGTTGATCTCCACGTTGGAAGCCCGCGTGATGTTGAACTGCGTGAAGGGGGAGATGAACTTGAGGTTGAATGTCCTCTCGAAGAGAAACTGCGTCTTGCGCTGGAACTCCGTGAGCCCGAAGAACGCCATGTTCTTGAGGTTGCTCTTGGCGCTCTGCAGCAAGATGGCGTTCCTCTCGCTCTCGTTCATGAAAGTCAAGTTGTAGCAGCCCACCAGGCTGAGGTCGGCCAGCATGCGCACCTGGCGGTTGTTGGCCAGGTTGTAGGTGCAGTCCATGAACTCCCGCAGGCTGACCCCGGACCAGTCGTCCCCGGGGTAGCAGGTGGGCAGCTCGTCCGGGGTGGGGCTCCTCCCGTCGCACATGTGGAGGGAGGTTTTCCACGTGGCCCCTCTCTGGACGTGTTTCCACTCGCTCAGGTATCGGGACACTGGATCCCGCAGCATGGTGATGTAATAGAAATTCCTGGAAGAGATGAGGGGGAGAGCGTCAGTCCTCCTGAACTACAACCCTGGGCACTCGGGCTTCTGTAGCCTTTATGTCAGCATTGAGCCCATGGACTTGTCTGCCAAATGGTCGCCTGAGAATGTCCTTCCAGTGCTCACATGAGTGGCTGTTAGCCAATGTTCCCTTTCTGTGCGTGTTTCTGTAAACATGCATGAATGGGTTTCCGTACCATTTGCTGCGTTTTTCCTTTCTGCTACAGTGTGGGCAGCCTACTCCCCTATTCTTTGCCTGAAGAATTCCATGGACAGAGAAGCCTGGTGGGCTATAGTCCGTGGGGTTGCAAAGAGTCCGATAGGATTGAGCGACTTTCGCTCACTCACAGTGTGGGGAGGGCTGGGGTTGGGGGAAATAATTCATGCCTTCATGCAGTAATTATTCACTGATAAATTACAACCGGCAAGAACACCTTACTTTAAGAAAATTCACCATGATTATTTAAAGTTATCACCCAAATATTTTATCTGATCCTTTTAAAATTTTATCTGATCCAGATAAAATGATATTTTATTTGATATTTTATCTACTACTAAGAGGTACTTTTGTAGTAGATATTGGGGACTATTTGATAGGGAAATGTGCAAAGAGGTTAAAATGATTTATCCAAAGCAGGAGACTAGAAAGAGCAAAGCAGAAAGCCGAGTCTCCTTAATCTTTTCTGGGTTAAGAGGTAGGTGGGGTAGGGGAAAGATGTGTTGTATGGAGACTAATATTTACTGAGCACTTATTATGTGCTGGAAACTGGATTAGGTGCTTTGTGAGTACTGGCACAGATAACCTTCAACATAACTTATAAAATGGGTTTTATCATGACTTGAAAAAAAAAACAACAACAAAAAAACCAAAATCTGAGAACACAGAAGTGAAAAATACAGCCCAAGATCCTAGAGCAAATGAATACTTGAACTATGATAAAATTTATGCCTATTTGATTTCAAAGCTTCTGTGCTTTCCTGGGCAGCAAATTTTAAAAACAAAAAATGTAACTAATATTTATTGAATGCCTATCAGTTGTCAGGTGCTGTGGTTCTTAACAATCACCGGTGTCATCTCATCTGATGGCACCTAATGGAGCACAGAGAAGAGATACATTTTATAAACGGTTAGCTCCAGAATGATTAGGTAAAGATCAGGGTACAACTGGCTCAAAAGCACAAGAGAGATGTGAAGAGGCCAGAAGGGATTTGGAAAATCGACAGATAGAGACACAGCAGTAGGCATTAGAGAAAAGCAAATATTGATTCCAAGTCAGGAAAATCCTTCTCGTCATTCGAGCAGCTGCCAATGGAGCGGGATGCCCACCCTACCTCTGTCACCAGGAGTGACACTCAGGGTTTGCCCTGGGCAGACAAAAACAGCTCTGAAAAGTTCTGAAAAGAACACTGCTTCCCCTGACAATCTAAACTGTACTAAAAAAAAAAAATTATAGCTAGTAAAAGCAATGACAAAAATAAGGAATTGAAGTATTAGTCAGTCAGTCACGTCTGACTCTTTGCGACCCCCATGGACTGTAGGCCGCCAGGCTCCTCTGTCCATGGAATTCTCCAGGCAAGAATACTGGAGTGGGTAGCCCATCCCTTCTCCATGGGATCTTCCCAATCCAGGGGTTGAATCCGGATCTCCCGCATTGCAGGCTGATTCTTTACCATCAGAGCCACCAGGGAAGCTGGCACTCTGTACTCTTTTTCATGCTGCTTTTAAAAAAAGGAATTGATGAGGTATATTTAAAACAATACATTTACTGTATTCAGTTATTTTGAATGTGTAGCCAGACAGTTTTGAAATATGCTAAAGAAACTGTGGTGTTGGAGAGACTCTTGAGAATCCCTTGGACTGCAAGGAGATCCAACCAGTCCATCCTAAAGGAAATCAGTCCTGAATATTCATTGGAAGGACTGATGCTGAAGCTAAAGCTCCAATACTTTGGCCATCTGATGATAAGAACTGGCTCATTGGAAAAGATCCTGATGCTGGGAAAGATTGAAGGCAGGAGGAGAAGGGGACAAGAGAGGATGAGATGCTTGGATGGCATCACTGACTCGATGGACATGAGTTTGGACAAGCTCCAGGAATTGGTGATGGACAGGGAAGCCTGGTGTGCTGCAGTCCATGGGGCTCACAGAATTGGGCATGTCTGAGTGACTGAACTGAACTGAAAGAAAATCCAAAATCTTAAGTAATACTCTCATCCTTTTAAATCAGGAAGAAGAATGTGTTGGAACCACCACAGAAAGGCCAGCCTGAGCCCTGCTTTGCCAATCATCATTTTTACATTACTCTGTTGTCTTTCCCTATGACAGACTGACAATTCCATCAGTGGGGAAAAATTTCCCAAAAGATCTGAAGGGAAAGCTGAAAATGACTGACATTATTTCTGGGCTCCACAAGGAAATGCTGACAATAAAGATTTTCAGGATATTATATGGTTGAATGTTATATGACATGTCATTATTAATCCCGCTTTGGTCCTATGTTGAAACTTGTTTACATTTCAGTTCTACAAGCAGAGATTTATTTTTATTTGACAATGATATAATAAGTATATAAACACAATGATGAAGATGGTGGTTATAATGTAACTTAGGTGAGTTAAGGAACTCAGACTCATTAGGACAGAATACCTTACATCAAAGAGATCTTTGCTTGGACAAATAGGATCACAAATGGGAAATTTATAATTTTTCTGGTTAGTTGGGTAAAATGGAAAATGCACAAAAAAGGATTTAAATGAAAAAGATGACAATCAATTGACAAGACTCAGCCCCATTTATGTGTCTCAAATTTATGCACAGTCCAGATTTTTAAAATAATAAAAAAAGCTGTGAGATTTTAGGGCTGAGAATGACAGATGTTTGTGGCATAAAGGGTTAACTGGAACCTGCTGCTGAAATCTGAGAAGCTGTTGTCTCACTCCAAAAAACTTGCCAAAGAATTCCCAGTGCCTTTGCTCCATCAGAAATGCACATGGTCTCCAAGCTGACTGAAACTAGCTTACACTTAAAATGGTCTTGGTTTCAAATTTTATTCAATGTAACAATATGTTGAAACAATGATTAGGCAAATTGTAGGGTGATGTTTATACAAGTAAAATCATTCTCAAATGTCTGCAGGTTCTACTAGTCAAATAGGTCAGGGGTCCATTTTTAAGTAAAACTAACTCTGACATCAAGGCACAAAAATGTACTAGTGCGACATTCATACTGATAAAGTACAGAGTTGTCCCCTCCATGGTTCTGGAGCCAAGTGCCTGAGAGCATTTGGGTGTTGCTTTAGTCAGACGTATTTTCCTGCATGGTTTGTTTCTTGTAATCCTGCAAAGCAGTCACGATAGAAAGCTAAAAACAATAGGATTGAAGAACATCCAACTATTGAAGGAAAAAAAAAAAAATCACAATATGACTCATCAAATCATTTTTTCTCATTTCTATTTTTTTCTGTACTTTCATTTGCTTTTCTACTCTCAGCCAGAAAACTTCAAGGTCATTGATGAAATGACGTTCACCTCCAGGCCACAGGTCCAGCCTCATATGCACAAGCTTCACTCCAGTTTCATGAATCTCCTCCCTGCTCCCAAATGATGGAAACTCATTTTCTTCTGCTCCTGCCCAATTCAATTTCTAAAGAAAACTCTTTAAAAAAAAAAACTAAATATTTTATTTTTAAAATGTTTATTTTATATTAAAGGATAGTGGGCTAACAATGTTGTACTAGTTTTAGGCATACAGCAAGATGATTCAGTTATGCACAAATATATATCTATCTATTCTTTTAAAAATTCTTTTCCCATTTAAGCTATTATAGAACATTGAGCAGAGTTCTCTGTGCTATATATTAGGTCTGTGTTGATAATCTATTTTAAATACAGCAGTGTGCACATGTCAATCCCAAATTCCCAATCTATCCCACCCTCAGGAAAATTCTTAGAAATACCCTGAAATCTGCAACTTTCCTTTTCAAGCTTTCCTGGTTCAACAGCACAATGGAGGGCAAAACCAAGACCAGAGAAGGACAAGCAAGCTCCCCAGGAAAGGGCGTATGGCCACGTGCAGAGGTTCTCCCAGAACCCAGTCCCTTTTGACAGTCCCCTAAACAGAGGCGGAGCTCCATCTGTTCAAACACTCAAACACTATTTGAACTGTTAAACAGTTTTCAGTTAAACTCTTCCCGGATTTTGGGGACGGAGACTTTGTCTTAATGACAGCTTGCTGCCTGCAGATTTCCTGTTTGCCACCTGCCTCTTTGAGAGTTTGGACAAATTCATGTAAGAATGTCTGAAAAGCAATTACAACTCTTTAGAATAATTATCCTTGTGAGCCCAGGTTAAAGATGGCACAGCCTTGTGTACTCAGGAAACTTAGAGCACTTTGGTTAGTTCAGTGATCATTTCAGCTGACGATTGTTATAGGGACCATCATGGCTTACTATAGTGTCAAGACTAGGAACATGTCCTTTTTGGTCTCTTGCTCGGCTGTAAGGTAATCCTATTAAAAAATTCAAAACACAGCACAAGGACATGACTGCCTTCCCTCAGTCTTTGACTTTTCCTTTGCTCATTTGCATCCTGCTCATCTTTCCTGGCCCAGCTCAAGCTTCATCTCCATCTCCCCTGGCTTTTCCAGCCTTGAGGGTTTACTGCATCACTTACTGCACTTTTAACATGCGTATGAAAGTCCTGTTCACATCTCCCCTTTAAGTTCCTTTTTGATAACTGGACCTTAGGCCCGGTGCCCCACAGCACCTCCACAAAGTCCTGCTCACTGCAGATATTCAATAAATGATGCCGTGGAAAAGAAATGACCTTCAAAGGAGATAAGTGTATTCTAATGACTAAGGTTAATATTGCCTTTGACAAATAAGCCCTTCTTTTTTCCCCATAAAAACTAATCCAATACTATTTCTGAACGCCCAAAACATGTGAAAAGTGTAAAAAGACATAGAATCTTCTAATCCATCCATCATTC